TGTGTGTGTATGTGTGTGCGCCTAAATATGTTTATGTGCACTGCATGCATGTTGTTGTCCCAAAGATCAGAGGGCTTCAGATCCTCTGGAACTGGAGTTACAGGTCAGCTAATGTGAGTGTTTGGAACTGAACGCCGGTCCTCTGCAAGAACAGTAAGTGTTTTTAACTGCAGAGCTATCTCTCCAGCACTGATTTTTTTTTTTTTTCTTTCCTTAATGGTTGGTTAAAGTAAGTTAAAATTTACTAATCTTTTCCTTGATGTTATGATTTTGGAGTTTCGTTTAAGAAATCCCATCATAGTCCAATGTTAAAGGAAAGCTGTCTCCTCTCTCCCCTTGCATGTGCATAGAACAGGCTAATGCTACATTCTCCACTTGGACTTTGAGTGTTGGGCTACGATCTCTGCTGTTCTGGGAGGGGCTCCATGTGACTTGTTTTCTCAGCTGGGCTGCTCTGTGTGGTTTCTGTTGCTCCTTCCTTGGTCAGTATGTCCTTCCCACGTGGATTGACCCTGACTTGATGGTCTCTGGGATGACCTAACAGCCCTGCTGTGCCTTTCTGACCACCTGACACCTGTGCCCATCTCCAGGACCCTGCTGGAAAAGCAAGGCCTGGGGTGTGAGGACAGCTCCCTCCTGGCTTTAGTTCTCCCCATCTGGTTCTTAGTCCTCTCAGTGCTATGCACAAATGAAGCAACTTTGGCCCCCACAGTTAGCCTGGGGACACAATCCTCTCCTGTGTTGTTATTGTTTTTTTTTTTTTTTCCCAAGATAGTGTTTCTCTGTGTAACACTCTGTGTAACAGCTCTAGCTGTCCTGGAACATGGTCACTCTGTAGACCATGCTGGCCTGGAGCTCCACCTGCCTTTGTCTCCCGAGTGCTGGGATTAAAGGTGTGCACCACGTCCAGCTCCCTCCTGTGCTTTTTACCCTTGGTTCCATGGAATTTCCTCACTAATTTCAGATGTTTTATGTTTTACTTTATTTCTTTGTGCATGTGTGTGTCTGTTTGTGGGTGTACATATGTATGGGATACCTGTGCACATGTGTATACATTCATGGAGAGGCCGGAAGACAACAATGAGTAACATTCTGCAGGTGCTGAACAAAGCCAAAACCATTCAATGGAAAAAAGACAGCATCTTCAACAAATGGTGCTGGTCCAACTGGATGTGGAAAAAAGAAAAAGTGGGGAACAGCCTAGAACTCATTGGCACAGGAGACAACTTCCTGAACAGAACACCAACAGTAACAGGCTCTAAGAGCAACAATCAATAAATGGGACCTCATGAAACTGAAACATGAAGCTTCTGTAAAGCAAAGGACACAGTCATCAAAACAAAACGACTGCCTAAAGATTGGGAAAGAATCTTCACTAACCCTTTATCTGACAGAGGACTAATATCGAGTATATACAAAGAACTAAAGAAGCTGAAAAGCAGCAAACCAAGTAATTCAATTAAAAAATGGGGAACAGAGCTAACCAGAGAATTCTCGACAGAGGAATATCGAATGGCAGAGAAACACTTAAAGAAATGCTCATCCTCATTAGCCATCAGGGAAATGCAAATCAAAACGACCCTGAGATATCACCTTACACCCATCAGAATGGCCAAGATGAAAAACTCAAGGGACAACACATGCTGGAGAGGTTGTGGAGAAAGGGGAACCTTCCTCCACTGTTGGTGGGAATGTAAACTGGTACAACCACTCTGGAAATCTATCTGGCGCTTTTTAAGACAACTAGGAATAGTGCTTCCTTAAGACCCAGCTATACCACTGCTAGGTATATACCCAAAGTTTGCTCAAGTACACAAGAGGGATATTTGCTCAACCATGTTTGTAGCAGCTTTATTTGTAATAGCCAGAACCTGGAAACAACCCAGATGTCCATCAACGGAGGAATGGGTACAGAAATTGTGGTATTTTTACACAATGGAATACTACTCAGCAATCAAAAAGGAGGAAATCATGAAATTTGCAGGCAAATGGTGGGATCTAGAAAAGATCATCCTGAGTGAAATATCCCAGAAGGAGAAAGACAAACACGGTATATACTCACTTATATAGACCTATAAGATATGATAAACATAATGAAATCTGTACACCTAAAAAAGATAATCAAGAGAGCGGACATGGGGTAAGATGATCAATCCTCGTTTAGAAAGACAGATGGGATGTGCATTGAACGTATGACAGGAGTCTATTGAGCGCATTTGAAAGACTCTAACTAGCAGTGTTTTCAAAGCAAAGACTCATGACCAAACCTTTGGCAGAGTACAGGGAATCATAAGAAAGAAGGGGAGTTAGTCTGATGGGGAAAGGATAGGAGCTCCACAAGGACCAAATATATCTGGGCACAGGGTCTTTTCTGAGACTGACATGCAACCAAGGACCATGTATGGATATAACCTAGAACCTCTGCTCAGATGTAGCCTGTGGTAGCTCAGTAACCAATTGGTTTCCCATAGTGAGGGGAACAAGGACTATTTCTAACAGGAACTCAATGACTGGCTCTTTGGCCTCCCCACCCCCCAAGGGAGGAGCAGTCCTGTTAGGCCACAGAGGAGAGCTTTGCAGCCAGTCCTGAAGATACCTGATAAAACAGGATCAGATGAATGGGGAGGAGGTCCCCCCCTATCAGTGGACTTGGAAAGGGGCACGGTGGAGATGAGGGAGGGAGGGAGGGACTGGGAGGGAATGAGGGATCGGGACACGGCTGGGATACAGAGTTAATAAAATGTAACTGATAAGAAAAAAATAAAATTCAAAAAAAGAGATATTTTTAAAAATAATTTTTGTCTTCCTCACCCACTGATCTCCTCTGCACCTGCATACTTTATGCCTGTGCTTATTGATTTTTCTGTCTGTTTGTCTCTTTCTCTCTATCTCTCTGTCACAACTTGGCTGTATATAAGACTGGTTTAGAACTGTTCAAAGAGTCAGAATTTAATGTCGTTAGTTTCTTCTGTTGTTTGTCTTTTTGAAGGATTTGTTATATCTGAATGTACATGTACTTCCAAAGCAATTACACAGAAAAGCAATCTTGAAGATAGTGCTATGAAGCGGTGGGTCAGAGAGAGTGCCTGCTGCAGACAGCACAGCCATTGTCACTTTGATCGTGGGCTTCTCCTTCCCAAAGTCTTCAGGACCATGCAGTTGCTTTTGAGCTGTTGTATTTTGCTACAGCAGCCTTGGTGGACTCACCAAGCTCGCTATGTTCTCCCTGGTTTCCTGAGGCTGAGCTCATTTTCACTCTGTCCTCCTGAACACACACAGTGTAGACTGAAGAGTTCCCTGTAGTCCAGTGTACTGACTTACCACCTTTTAAATAAACTGTTGCCATTTTAATTGATTTACAAACCTTTTAAGTTTATTTTGATCTTATCATATTTAGCTAGTTAGTTTTTAGACAGGGTCTCTCTCACATAGTCCAAGCTGTCCTCAAATTTCCTGTGTAGCTGAGAATAACCTTAAACTTCTCATCCACCTGCCTCTATCTTCCAAATGATGTTGAATTACCAACCAGAGTAACTGTGGTCAGGGTCTGTCTTTTTTCAGGCTTTCTGTCTCTTATTCAAGGAACTGAAATAAAGGTTCACACAGTTTCCAAGTATCAAGGGAATGTTATTTAAAACAAAGCAATAGAACAGGTCCAAGAGTGAAACCAGGGCATAGGGCTCAAAAAAGGACTGAAGGGCTCTGATCATGGCTCGGGCATTCTTTTTGTGGTTTGAAAAGAGGGAACATTTGGTTAATAGGGGGATGATTTGGGTGGTTTTCCATTTTGTGTTTTGTTTTGTTTTTGAGGCAGAATCTTACTATGTAGCTCTGGCTGTTCTGGAACTACGTAGACTAGGCTTGTTCTCAAACTTGCAGAGAACTTCCTTGCATCTGCCTCCCAGGTACAGGGATTGAAGACATGTGCAACTATGCCTGTTTTTTTGTTTTGTTTTTTTTTGGGGGGGGGTTGTTGTTTTAGTGGTTCTCTATTTAGTAATGTAATCCTTTATTTATCGTGTATGTCCCTTCCCATAATGCACCTAATTTTAGTCTCATGTATGCTCAATTGTGACTAAGCACAAGATGGCAAACAGGATTCTTTCTAAAACTTCACTTAGAGGATACAGTTTGCTTTATCGCAAATGCTCCCAAACCAGTTGGAACCAGAACATCCCCTCCTACTGTAACACAGCTGGGGCATGATTGACTAGAATCTAAGTTTTATAACTGTTAAGAAGAGGAGAAACTTATTCCATTGTTCTGAGGGGTTGTGCATATAGTTTTGATGCCAGTGGGAATCCTCGGTGGTAATGATCACATTGTCCAGAGAGGATATTTGTGCAAAGTATATGCACGTAAGCTTTCTCGGCTGCTAGGTATGTTATCAGAAGAGAAGTGTGTGCACAGCTCAACCCAAGTGGAGTCCTAAGTTGCTAAATTATTCCCTATGCTTGCCTGACTTCATTGGTTTTACAGATACACCACACTTGGTTTATGAAGTGCCAGGAATCTAATTCCGGGCATACTAGATGAATGTTCTAGCAACTGAGCTACATTTTCCAGTTTGATTTTTTATTACACTTATAACATTTATATAAAGTATTTGTTGAGATTTATACCAAAATTAACATATGGGAAGTTTGTTTACATGTGTTTGAAAACCCTGTCCTTACCAATGCTTCATGAAAGCATGTTTGTATATTCCTGATACAAAACTGTCAAGGGACTAACCCATTGAACAGGTCCTAATTGTCTATTGTCCATGTTCTAACTGTCTCTGGAAATGACAAGTTCACTAAACCCCTAGGTGTCTCCTAATTCAATCATCACAATCACAGTCAAGACTAGCTATCACACCACTGAATTATTTCAGAATAAATATCATAGGTGGAGTTAGATTTTTTTCCCCAGTAATCCTGCTGATAGTTTTTAAAAGTATAGATTATCTTTAGATCTGTACCACTCAGCATGTAATGAATATTTTATTCTCCCTGTAGCCTGACATCAAGACCCCGATGGCTAATGAAGCTAACCCTTGCCCATGTGACATTGGTCACAGGCTGGAGTATGGTGGCATGGGCCAGGAAGTTCAGGTTGAGCACATCAAGGCATATGTCACACGGTCCCCTGTGGATGCAGGCAAAGCCGTGATTGTTGTCCAGGATATATTTGGCTGGCAGCTGCCCAACACCAGGTATATGGCTGACATGATCGCTGGAAACGGATACACGTATGTATGAAGTTCTGTTCTTTGCTTAAATTCATGTGAATTTCTGTGCTCCATTTTGTTTCCTTCAGAAAGATAAAACCCCCACACATCCTGAGTTATAGTCTCATTTACATTAGCTATTTGTTTATCTCAGTGATCAGTGGTGGGAAGTGGGAACTGTCTTTTAAAATTTAACACTGACCTTGTGGAGCCAACTATTCCCAATAGGATCTCCAGGCATTAGGTCCCCAGGGGTACCTGGCCCTCCAGACATGCTGGACAGAGGGTTCTCTCCCCATGAAGGGTCCCAACCAGGCACAGGCCAACATACTTGTGCACACTCATTAGATTCACCTGTTGACCTTGAAGCTTCTCAGCCTAAGGGTGGCTTTCACAGGTCTGCTTGGAGGGTAAATCGGGTAGGTGAGTGCCAGCAACACTGTCTGCTGTAGGTGTCACATAATATCTGATGACCTTCCCAGCTCCTGTGTTGGTGGGCAATACTGCTCTGTTAGTACTGTCCAAAAAGATTTAGCTGATGGTCACAGGGGTGTTAGTCAAGTGCAGAGTGGTAGTGAAGGATAAAGACAGGATTGGGTCCTGGACCCACAGCATTCCAAATTCTGCACAGTGACATTCCAGTTCGGTTCATTGGACTAGCAGTGTCCTTTGCACAGGTGAGGTGGCTTATTTTCTGGGAACTTGAGTTCACAGTCCAAAGAAAGATGAAAGTCCAGGGTGAGCCTGTCTTCTTTCCCTCACTGAGATGTGATGCAAACCTTTCAAGGGATAAAATGATGGTGGCCTTGAGGAGACTGGACGGTTACCCGAGGGAAGCCTATAAATAAACCTATAATAGCCAATATGGTCCCAAAGCCCTGGGAGGGATGGATGTTACTGTCCTCATGTTGCAGATTGGGAAAGAAGACAGAGGTTCTTAGCTGCTCTGGGTGAATTCTAAGCAGCTGCTTGAATGTGACTTACACCTCTTGTCTTAGGTGAGTCCTTGATTACAATGAGAATATATAATATGAACAGAGAGATAACAAGGCTCTGTCTTATTCACAGCACTCATTTTACTGAACTTCAAACAATCTGAGGCTGGGCAGTGCATACTTCTGTCTGTCTGTCTGTCTGGTCAAGAATGTTGAGTCCAGGGGCTGGAGAGATGGCTCAGTGGTTAAAAGGATTTGATGACTTGGCAGAAAATCCAGGTTTGGTTCCAAAGAACACATATGGCAGCCTACAACCATCTGTAACTAGTTACAGGGGATCTGACACCTTCTTCTGGCTTCCACAGGTACCAGGCTTGTACATAGTCTACATAATACATGCAGACAAACACGCATACTCATAAAAATAAATAAATCTTAAGATAAAAGTGGTCAGTTATGCCAGGCATGGTGGTGTACACCGGTAATCCCAGCACTCAAGAGGCAGAGGCAGGTGAATCTCTGTGAGTTTGAGGACAGCCTGGTTTACAAAACAAGTCCAGGATAGCCAAGGCTATAAAAACAAAACAAAAACCCTGTCTAGAAATTTCAAAACCAAAAAGTTGGGGGGGGGGGGGAGTCAGTTACTTGTCAAGTTCTCAGTACAGTACAGGGTGGAACTGAGAGATGGACCTGAACTTTTTGAGAGCCTGGGTGCTCTCCCCACCTGTGCAGCAGAGGGATTGGTCCCCTGAGTCACAGCTACAGGTAACTCTTTACTTTGGGAGATCATGGCCTTGGTGCCATTCCTCCTGAGTTGGCTTCTAGGAGACTGGCATGGACTCCAATGTGTAATCCTGCCTCTGTCATCCCAAGTACTAGGATTAGTCCATGATTTCCAAACTATGAGTTGCCTGTAGTTGGGTAATCTGTCATTTGATCCTTTATATGATTTGTGTATGTGTGCAATGATGTATATACATGTGTATAACTGCAGGTTCATGCTCACCATGGTGAGCATTTAGAGGTCAGAGGACAACCTTAGGTATTAGTCTTCGCTTGTTTATTCTTTCTGTGGCCTGTTCTAGAACCTGCTGTGGACCTTACTCTGTGGGCAGGAAACTGGCAGCCTGTGCAGAGGCTAGGGAAGATTGCTTGTTCACAGTGACTAAATGTGTCCTCATATTCCTTGTGGGTGCCCTTTCGCCAAAGCCAGTGTTCAAGGCCAGGAAAGTCCTGGGCTGGCCTCAGGGGAACACCTAACTCCATGGAGGCAGGAAGAACCTTTGAGGGTACCAACCCCTCGCCCATGGGTCCACGTTTCCCTCTTCCTGCACTGGAACAGCTCTTGAGAAGTGTCCCTGCTGATGGCCTTCTCACTTGCTGGAGCATGGTCACACGGAAGCTGCTAGAAGCTGTGCATGTACTTGGCAGTTGTAGGATCTGAGGCAATCTGGCCCTGCTCCAGGGGACCTCTGCTGCAATCAGGGGTTGCTCCATGGCCCAGGCTCTTCCTTTCCCCTGCCTTGAATTGGCAACCTAACAAGGCATTTAGTAAACCAGGACAAACATTGAGTCCAGGCGACTCAAAGGTTGATTCATACCCATGTTTTTACAGAACTATTGTTCCAGACTTCTTTGTGGGGCAAGAGCCTTGGGACCCATCTGGTGACTGGTCCACTTTCCCTGAGTGGTTGAAATCAAGAAATGCCAGAAAAATCAATCGGTAAGTTATTAACAGGCTTGGTTTTGTATTTGATGTAGCTCAAGGAGGGGATAGATGAGCTGAGCTTCAAAACCAGATTTCCTTCCTCTCTCTCTCCCTTTCTCCCTCTTTGTGTGAGGCTTCACTTGGCCCTAGACAAAGTCCATCTGACAGCATGATGGAAAAGTTTTGCTCCAGCACACTGTATGAGCTGAGGATGGAGGCTGACACACCCTCCTTGCTACACTGCCCCAGCATAGCTGCTCGCCTCCCTGAGAAATTATGAGTTCAAAGTCCTGCGTCCACCTAGGTGCTTGTTTGCAAGTGACAGACTATCTATTCCAAATGGATCAGCAGTTAAAAGAGCTATTGGTTTATAGACCCAAAGAAAGTAGTTTGGGGTTTAAGTAGGAATTAGCTCACAGCTTTAAAATATCTCCAGCTCTCATTCTTCATCGCTGCTCAGCCTCATTTCCTGTGTGCTGGCTTTATCCTCAGGAAAGCTCTCACCTCAGAGACAGCCAATTTTTCCATAGCCTCTCTCCCAGCGACCTGGAGAGCAGCATCGCCCACCTTGTCCCCATGGGCTCTGCAGTCCACCCTGGAAACCCATCATTCTGACCAGGATAATGCTCTTCTCTGATTGGCCAGGTATGAGCCACAGAGACTTAGCTTACCCCAAATTCCACTCCACCATGGAAGCAGTGTTAGCAAGTTTTTATAGTAACAGGACAAAGATAGATTGTAAATCAAGACATTTTTTGAATACACTGGTGGAAACATTAATTAGGTGGTTACAACATAGCACAGAAATCTCAGCTATGGGACCTAGGTGCTATCTGATAGCATTCTTAGCTCTCTGTTTGGTGGCAAATAGGGTTTTGTTGAGTTGACACACTGTAAAGTTTTTTTTAAATCTGCTTATCAGGACGTTAGGTTCAGCCTTGTCTGCTAATTACAGGAATTAGAGCCAACAGAGAGATGGGCAAGGAATGGTGCATTACTGGGCTAAAGGCAGCTCAAGATAAATCATAATCAGACTCTTGACCTGCAGCATTTCAGACTCTCTCCAGCCGCTGGATTGTAAGCATCGAGTCAGCCTTGCAGTCACAGCTTCCTTCTAGGAATTCTGTTTCCCACCATTGAACAAATCAAAAACTTCAAGTACCATCCACTGAGACATTCCAGTTACCAGCAACCTTGAAAAGTCACAAATCAGCCGTTGCCAATGCCTTTTCTTTATCTTTTAGAGAGGTCGATGCTGTCTTGAGGTATCTGAAACAACAGTGCCATGCCCAGAAGATTGGCATTGTAGGCTTCTGCTGGGGGGGCATTGTTGTGCACCAGGTGATGATGACATACCCAGAAGTCAGGGCGGGGGTGTCTGTCTATGGTAAGTGCCCAGTGCATCTTAGTCAGTTAATGCAGGAGGATGGCTGACAGGCCTCTCCCACATGCTGCAATACAAAACCTGAATGCATGAGATAGACAAGCTTAGCATGGTTTTTAGACTTGAAAATAGAGCTGAGAAGATGGCTCCATCAGTAGATTTCTGGTCTTGCAAGCATGAGATCCTGAATTTGTTCCCTGGAATCCATGTTAAGAGAGGCAGAGACGGGTGATTATTTATTTATTTATGCTTATTGGGCACTTTGCCTAGCCTACTTCTAAGTTCTAAATTCTTGTCCCAAAAATCTAGGTTGAAAGGCTCCCCAGGAACATATCCACGGTTGTCTTCTGACCCCCACATGTATATCTGTGCACCAGCAAATTCACATGTGGCACACACACACTAAAGAAAAAGCAAAGTACATTTTAAAGTACAAACAGCAGCTTTAACTTTTTTTTTTTAAGTTTGTAGATTTTAAAAAGTTTGTATGGGTATGTTGCCTGCATGTATGTGCACATGTGTGTGCCTGGTGCCTACAGAGGCAAGAAGGTTGTCAGATCCCCTTTATAGTTATGGTTCTGAGCCACCATGTGGGTGCGGGGAACAGAATCTGGGTTCTCAGAGTAACTAGTACTCATACCTGCTGAGTCATCTCTTCAGCCTCAACTTTTAGATTTTAACCAAAAGAAAACAAAGTTATTTTAACCATGAGATAAAAACCCTTTCTCTGTTGACAGAAATAGTAAACTGAATATACAATTTAAAGGCACCTAGATTAAAATATGTCAAAAATAAATATATTTCAAAGTTACATATGCAAAAGCTGTTCTTATCTGGGGCTTGAACTCCTTGACATGGCAGTTCATCTTCTATTAGTACTAAGGAAAAAAAACACTATTTCCTTACATAAAAGGAAACCAAGTGGAGGCATGGCACACATACTGGTAACCCAGTACCTGGGAGGCTAACACAGACCTGAAATTGTCTGGCCAGTACAAGCTACATAGCAAGAGCTAATCTCACAACAAAACAAATGCAGTGAATCACTAGTATGAGGCCAGCCGACGGTAAGGCCAAGGTGTCTATGGTGAATTTAAAGGTACTCTTGGGTACATGACTTTTTGGCGCCACCTGTTGGCTGCTGCTATGTAGCACCTGAGTGGCAGGAATTGGTCTGAATGTCCAATATGTGGCTGTTGAGAGTTGGGCAGGGAGCACTACCATCCTTCCTGGGGCTTCCTGCCTTCTGGAGAGGACTATCAGGGAGTAGAAATGCTGTGCCTTACTTAGCTTTGCTAACACACTGGCAGGAAGCAGGGAAAAAGTTGTCTTTCCTCTCATCTTTTAAAATCATGATGATGTGCATGTGTGGTCCTGCACGCAACAATGCCTGTATTTTAAAGCCAAAGAACAACTTTATGTGGGTTGTGGGCCATCTCACAAAGGTTGTGGGCCTTTCTTTCAACAGTACATGGACTTGCTTTAAAAACCCAAGCAAACACACCCGTGGGTTGCCCTGAGCCTGGCAGAGCAATACTTTACACTGATTAACCTTTAGAGTGCAGAGACCAGGATGAATCCTGAATGTTACACAATAACTTGCAGAACAGACATTGTATCCTTGGGGTCTTGTTTGAAAAGCAACTTGGTCCAGTGGATGTTGTTCTTAGGAATACAACTATCTAGTTTATTGAATAACTTTGTAGAAACTTTAGAGTGGTTTGAAACTTATGACCTGATGTGTCTCAGACATAATGAGCAGCCCACAGTCAAATTTATTGGACTGGTTCCTACTGAACAAGGTGCAGAGTAGAAAGATTTGTTTAAACCAGTTGAACTTCTACAGAATCTCACAGGTCAGGCTGCTGTGGAATTGCTAAAAATAAAACAAACTGAGGGCTGGGGAAATGGTTAAGGCAGTGACATGTTGGCCCTATCCATAAAGACCCGAGTTCAGATTCCCAGCATTACAAATCTGCTGGGGAGGGTTGCACATGTCTGTTACCTGAGTACTTGGCAGGTGGAGACAGAAGGGGTCCCTTTTGTCCCTTGGTTTGTGAGGACAGAGCTGTCTGAAAGACACTTCCTCTTGAGATGATTCACTGCCAGCCTAGACAAATCTTTGAGCTCTAGGTTATGAGAAACTGGCAAAAATAAGATGGGGTGACTCCTGACATACATACATGTGTACACAAGATCCCATGAGGACGTGCACATGAATACATGCATATGCCCCTCACCCCACACATGAAAAGACTAACCATATGTTTTACTTTGGATAACCACACCAAATCCAGGCAGCTTTCTGCAGAAGTCAATCTCCCTCCTCTATTTTCAGGCATCATCAGAGATTCTGAAGATGTTTATAATTTGAAGAACCCAACCTTGTTCATTTTTGCAGAAAATGATGCTGTGATTCCACTTGAGCAGGTGAGTGGGCAGCCTTTCATTTGCATATCTAAATAGCTTATCATGACATTTTTTGGAGAAAGTTTTAAAGAACTAATTTATCACTTTCGACTGTTTTCCAATGATAAAAATTTACTAAGAATGGAACTTAAGCCCAGCATGGGTCTGTTTCTGTTTAGAATGATAGTGGAATGGTATGTTCCTGACACAGCCTGTTCACTGAGAAGGAATGGTCTCCATGGTAACCCACCAGCTACCATAGTCTGAGATGGACATATAAACCCAGGAAGTGGATTAGGAAAAAGTCCAAGTTAAAAAGGTCTCCATACAAATGATTTTCAGCAGTCCTCAAGATCATTTGGTTTGTTTCAGTTTTACTATGCGCAAGAGTAACACATAGACCAACTTTGAATCTGAGACCATTTCTTTGGCCTAGCCACCCATGTATATGGTCTCATAGTGTCGATAGTTGGGGCAAAAGGTATCTTTCATCAGGCCAGTCATTAGGGAAGCAGTAGTGGTCTCAATGTGCTGTGCCTAGCTAGGATGGCCAGTACGACAGCTATACTGAGTGGCCACCGTGCCTCCTGTTGGGGACTGAATTCAGCAGGCTTCACACATGTGCCCCACCACTCAACATTTCTTTTCAGACAAAGGTAGACCACAATGGCCTCAGAGACCTGGCTGCCTAGCTCTCGACTGCTGGGATTAAAAATGTGTCCAGTTCGCCCTTGACCTACAGTATTTTAACTCACAGTGGATTTGTTGGGTCTCAGCCCCAGGGTAAATGCAGGAACTTCTATACCTGGCATGACATCATTATGCTGGTCTGTAACTCCTAACAGCAGCTACGCACTGTTAATTCAGTAGCTGTGAAGCCTGTTCACTGCACAAAGCATGATGTTGGCTCCTATGAACATGTACTACATAGAACAGAAGACTCTAGCTGGGCGTGGTGGTGCGTGTAAGCCCAGCACATGAGAAGCAGAGCTGGAAGCCAGCCTGATCTACATAATGAGTTCTAGGACAGCCAGGGCCACACGGAGACCTTGTCTCAAAACAATAAAAAAAAAAAACAAACAAAAGGAATGGAAGAAGCTATTAGAGGGTTAAAATTTATGTCATCCTCACATTTTTATAATTTTTTTGGTGTACTAGGTTTCTGTGCTGACCCAGAAATTGAAAGAACACTGTAAAGTTAATTACCAAGTAAAAACCTTTTCTGGGCAAACTCACGGCTTTGTGCATCGGAAGAGAGAAGACTGCTCCCCTGCTGACAAACCCTACATTGAGGAGGCTCGGAGGAATCTCATTGAGTGGCTGAACAAGTACATTTAACACCACTTAAGCATAAAACAGCTGTTATCAAAATTTGCCTGGAAATAATTAACCATGATCTCTTTATGTAAAATATAGGAATCCTAAAATTCTTCTGAAACATAAATACAATAGAAACTAAATAAATGCTCAATACTTATAGAACTCAAATGATAGCATAACTCTTAATTATTAGGCGAATCTGGGGTCATCCAGGGACCAGCTAGACTCTCAGATATGGCCTTAAACTGGTAGTGAACACTGTTAAGGCAATTCATATACAAAGCCAGGAGGATCATGAGTTGTTAAGTAAGTAGTTTATGGGCTTTGGTGACTCTGGGGAGCAGTGTTGAAACTTAGTTCCTAGATCCAATTATTCAACCTAATAAAGTGATATTTTAAATTTGTGAATCTGTAGCTTCACTTTTAAACAAACACATGAATGAGTGCCTGCAAGTGCTACATGTGAAGATCAGATCTAACTTGAGAAAATCTTTCCACCAAGTGGGTCTGAGGACTCATGGTTACTGGACTTGGTGGTGGCAAGGAACGAGGCTCCAGATTTAATCAGCCATGTTCTGCTTTTCACTGGATCTACTGAGACTGGAAATTGCCAGTGTGTATGGGCTGGCTCTGACATCACAGGCTCAAACCATGCACCTTAGCCAAAAAGGTACCTATGCCTCAACTTCCCTCTAAGCATATGCTGGAGGCACAGGCTGCCCAAGCCAGTTCTGACTGGCACCTGAGCTAACTGGCCAGCAAGTTACGGGGAACAAGAGGATTCAGCCTCCAGCACTGGTTTCATTAGCCCTGCAAGTGCTGGTGCAACCCAGAAATACAATCATGGACCTCTACAGTCAGGACTCCCCTGCCTCTGCTTTCTCATAGGGGTAGCTCAGTCCTCTCAGCTGTGAAATAAAACCCAACAGGACATCTGAGCTGCTAAAGAGTTCTGTAGTGGCTTTTGCCTCTTTACACATTAACTCTGCAGATGGAGGATGCTTAAAAGATATCCAATGACAGAAGCTGGGGAAGCTCCACCATGCTCTAAATAAGTGAAACCAAGTAAGTTACCAAATAGCTGCTTTTATTCCAGCATCTACAGGCTGTGACAGGACTACCAGATTCAGATGCAGCGTGACACACCCTTTATTTAGTCACAGTGGTAGATGAACAGTTTATTCTTCAGATTCTCCAGGCTTACGGATGTCATCAATCTTCAGAATCATTCTAACCATCTGTGTGGCAAGAGAGATCTGCTGCTTTTTGCCAATCAAGGTTTCTATGACATGCTGATACTGCATATCTGAAAAACAAACACAGCAACCAGTGATCCAAAAGATACAAATGTACTATCAACAGGCAGCTTCAACTTATATAGTCACAATAAAGCTTGGGAAATGTAGTGGCTGTCATATGCATATCTGTGCTCCCAGTTACTGGGGAGGCTGAGGTGGAGCTGAGGGGTTCAAGGTCAGTCTGGGCAACATAATGAAGTTCCATTTCAAGACAAAAATAGTTCAAGACTTTGCTATTAGTCAGTCATGGGTGGAGAATGCCTCATGGGCCCCTACCTCTCTGTGTTAAACTACTTGTCCCTGGTGGACTCTGGGTGATCTTGGTCTTTACCTGTACACACGGTTGAGCCCACCAGGCTTCCTCAGACAGTTTTACAAACCTGTGGTCATACAATCTTGGTTAAACCAAGTAGTATACCAAACAGAACAAAAGACAGGAACGTGGGAGACAGACTGACAGGGCAGAAACAGGGTATGGGAGCAAGAGTATTCAGAAGATACCTAAAGTGTCAAACAACAAAGTAAAAAAAATAACATATATAAAAGAGGGGCTGGAAATGGCTCAGTGATTAAAGTACCCAGTGCTCTTATAGAGGACCTGCATTCCTAGCACCTACATGGAAGCTTACACCCATCCAGTTAAATCCAGGTCCAGGGAATCCAGTGCCCTCTTCAGGCCTCCAAGGGTAAAAGACAAACACATTACACTTCAATGCATGCAGGCAAACCATTCGTGCACAAAAATAAATCTTAACAAATAAAATCCTAAACAAAAAAACCCCAAAGCTGAAGCAGTGAACTGGATATAATTTGCCCTATGTCATTTTCAGATGCATTTCCTAAGCACTGAAAACATGCATAAGTGGGAACATGGTAGTAGAATTGCCAGGGCTCTTGACTACAAGGAAGCTAACCAGACACATGACATCTCAAAGCACCCAGAGAGACAGCAGTGAAATGCATTTCTCTTCAACGGTGATCAGCAAACACTTCCTGTCAGAACAGCAACACAAATCACTAAGAGTTGCTGTTTTGTTTTGGATGCTATTATAGACTAAACACTGGATGCTGGAGTCACTATTGTCAGAATGCTTTTATAAACTGTCAAGTCCTGTGGTTGAATTCACTGTAGGAATGTGGGTATGGTTGGCCTATCAGTAGAGAAACAGCAAAGTTTCAACAAGCTAAATGTCTGACCCTTTTTCAATCTGAACTGACAAGTTGCTACAGAGTTAAAAGTTTCCCAAATACTCCACAGCCATGGAACAGCCAGGTGGCAAGCTGTGAAGGGAAATTACTTTGTATGGAATCAGACATCTGTACTGTGGTGAAAATGAGTTGTCCTGTAGCAATTAACTCAGACACTAAAACCCAGGATGCAACCGTACCAAGTGCATTCAAGAGCTCACACAGGACAGTCTTGTAGCATGTAGTACTACTATGCACAGCAAGAGTACATCACCTTCCAAGCCACTGGAAGCCTGTTCCATTCAGAGCCCTAACAAGCAACTCACCGTTGGTGCCCTTGTGCAAACAGTCGATCCCAAGAGCAGGGTTGGACTCCTTCACTTGTTTGGCTCGAACTTCAGTCATGGTCTGGATGGGATTCATGCCACTGTTTTCTGCAAGGGCCATGGGGATGACCTCCAAGGCATCTGCAAAAGCTCTCATGGCATATTGTTCCAAAGTTGGGCACTGGAAGGGTACAGAGACAGTGAGTACACTCGGCAAGAACCAACCCAACAGCCAATCATAAGCATACACTGAAAAACTCACTTAGGGCAAGCTTAATACACCATGATTACTTTATCTACAGACTGAAGGTGGGGAGGACATGAGCACACCTGAGATCTCAGACCCAGCAATTCTCAATGCTGCTCTGTCCGTTACCTTGTCTGCCTCTTGGCTGACTGCCAGGGCACAGGATATTTCGGCTGCCCCTCCTCCATACACAACACGGTTGTCTCGGATGAGGTTCCGGATGACACACAGGGCATCATGGAGGGATCGTTTTGCTTCTTCAATGATCTGGGAAAAGGTCTTATCTCAGTCCCTCACACTGGCACCCACTAAGCCATCTCCCCGGCTCAAGTACGGAAGTCTTACCATCTTGTTTCCTCCTCTGATGAAAATGGTCACAGCTCTAGAATTCTTACACTGCTCAATGACCAGCATTTTGTCTTTTGTAGTGCCAAATGAGATTTCCTGCACCACACCAGCAAAGCCCAGCTTCTCAGAGGTAAGCTCTGAGAACCTTGGGACAATACGTCCTCCTGTTGCAATGGCGATCAGCTATCAGGATGCAGAGAGGACAAACAGATGTGGTCAATGCCAGCGAATTCCAAAATGGGATCATAAATGAACTACATCTAACCTAGAACCATTTTGTTCACCAGATAGGCAAAGTTTCCTGCAAAGTGTCTGGTTAAGCCAATGGGCTGAGTGGTTAGCACCTTAGGAAGTGGCTGGTGCTACCCAGCTCTATCACTGTCAACTTTCAACCCAGTCTCCTACTGTCTGGGTGCCCCTGTGTGTGAATCCAGCTCACATGTCCCCACCAACACAGCAGGCTGCAGAAGAAAAAGGGAAGATTTGTCCAGACAAATGCTTAGGTGGGCTGTTGCTATTATGCTGCCACAGAGGGGCTTGGGACCAGGCTTTCCTGCCTCTGAAAGCCAACAGGGAAGCCCAGAGAGCTGACTATGCAGCACCAGAAATACAATGCACTGTCATGCAAGCCAAGATGATTCTAGAATGTTCTTCTACAGTTCCTCTTCCTTTGAGCTATTGCTGTTTGGTGTGTTGTGGTTGCTTTAGTCAAGTGCTGTCAAAGTGACACTGAATACAAGCATTTATTGCAGGCTCAACCCACACCCAGGCAAGGGCTCTGAATGCAGGCCTCCTACCTCAATCTCAGGTCCTCCTACCCAGCGAACTGCAGGCAGGTCGTTCTGAAGAAGTAAATGATTGGCTTCATCATCAAAGCCCCACTGGCAAATAGCTAGGTTAGCACCAGTTTTTTTAATCTGGGGAAAGAAATACCACAAAACTCTCTCAGTAACAAGTAGATGCTTGTTCCTTCCTGACTAATCTGAAGAAAAGGGGAGATGCACAGCTGTTTATGAAGCCTGTGCACTGAAAGGGCAGAAGGCACATGGAGAAAGAACAGTATGTACCACTGTACACTCCATCCGATACTGAAACTGTGACAATGGGAACCACCCTGCTTTTCAAACAATGCTTCAATTCCTGTCAATTCACACCTCTAGTTTGTTCCACAGGAGCCCAGGAGAGCTGTCATGAAAGGCACAGCTGAGATGCCAAACAATTCACAGCAGTCCAGGACAAAAATCACTGAACATGGCTAATCTTTTTTTTTTTTCTTACTATGCATTTTTTTATAACTGAAACTGAACCTAGGCAACACTGCATGTCATTTATGGCCATGTGACAAACCCCCAGATGTTAATTCAGTTAGTGCCTGGAATTTAGTAACCTGTGGTATTGGTTCAGGGAGCAGCACAGGACTCACCTGTTCAATCATCTCTTCAAATTTCTCCTTTTCGTATTTTTGCAGGGCTTTGTAGTCCTCCACAGAGGTTACGTCCAACTTGTGCTTTGTCTTTGGTTTAGGTGGCTCAAATGGACATGTGAGGATTGCAATCTTAGCATTTTCCACTTTCTACATACAGGGAAAGGAAGAACACTCTAAGCGAAGGGTTTGAGTTAATAGCAGTATAAAAGTGCAAGAGTACTCACTCACTTTCGGCATCTGTGGGTGACTGAAGTCCTTATCCACAATCACACCCTTTATAAGTTTGGTGTCTTCCAGCCTCCCACCCACTTTGCCTTCCACTTTGATGAGCTCAAAGTCAACATCTCTCCGCTCCATATCTGCCACTGTGAGGACGGCATTCACAGCAATTTCAGCCATTTGTCGGTGACAGCTGTTAACCCTGATGAAAACACACAAGTTTTATATTAATTACACAACCACAGCAACCAAACTACCACCACCATGCAACTCAACAGCACTTCTAGGAAGACCAGTGAAACTTTCCAAGTTCAAAACCAGAACAGGGACAGTAATGGCCTAGGCATAACAGAATA